GAGAGAGAGAGAGAGAGAGAGAGAGACGAGAGAGAGAGAGAGAGAGAGAGAGAGAGAGAGAGAGAGAGAGAGAGAGAGAGGAGAGAGAGAGAGCGATAGGGAGAGAGAGAGAGAGAGATAGGGAGAGGGAGCAAAAGGGAGGGGCGAGGGTCAGCCTCGTCGGAGCATGTCACCAGTCGCCCGTCGCCCGTCGCCCGTCGCCTGGCCTCTCCGATCTGGCGCCGCCACTACTCACCCTGTACTCGTCGCCCTCGTCCTCGACCTCGTGGCTGACCTCGGGAAAGGTGATGGTGCCCTCTGCGGTGGTGCCGTCGCCCGACTGGCCGGACCAGGCGTAGGTGATGCTGCAGTCGTAGATGGTGATGAGCTTGCCCTTTCGGTTTCCGAGCTCGACGTCGCCCTCAAAGGCCGAGAGGCGGTCCACCTTTACGGATCCGCCGGTGCCGACGGCGACGCTCTTGCCGACGGTGTGGTCGGCGATGTGCTTCTTGGCCCAGGGCGTGCAACCCTTGGTCTTCCAGTGGTAGTGCTTGTTCCAGGTCGACATGGCGGGCGGGCGGATGTCGGTGGGGGAGGGTGGGGGGCTGTCTTCGATGCGATGCGATGCGATGCCGTTGCGGTTGCGAGATGGAGGGCTGGTGGTAGGCGGAGGAGGAGGTGCAGAAGAAGGAGGAGGGAGCGCCTCTCAGGAAGGGCCGGCCAGCCAGCTGCCAAAGTGGAGTAAGGCCGAGCGGCGGACGGGCCGCCCAACTGACTTGACAGCCGCCCGTCAGGAATTTGCCAGAAGCCACGGCGCGGTCCCCTCTTTCGCACGAGACAGTCCACTCAGCGCCCGCCCGCCTGCCCGCCTGTCCGCCTGCCTGCCGGCCCGCCTCGTCACTACAGCGACGCCCGGATGGCCCTGGCTGGCAACGCAGGCAAAGCGGCCGAGCTAAGTCGAGAGCCGACGCTGGCAGAGAGACGCACGAGCGGGACGTCGAGCGTCGCAAGACGGACCGCAGACCAGCAGGCAGGCTCCGTCTGCGAGTGGGTGATCCGCCGCCTCTGCCAAGCAAGCAGCAGCAGCAGCAGCAGCAGCAGCAGCTGGGACGGGCAGACCCAGCTCGCGGCAGCCTCGAGGATGATGGGCCAGCCAGGCGGCTTGCTGGCAAGCAAGCTTGGCTGGCAGACCAGGCAGGCCAGCAGGCAAGCCAGATCGAGCGAGGCTCGGCTGCTGCAAATCGCGACTCAGCTTTGGACCGGCCCCCCGTCTGCTGGCAGCCCAGCCAGCCTCGTCGAGCGAGGTCGGTCGAGCCAGCCAGCAGCCTGGCCTCAGCAGGCCAGCAGGGCTCGCTTGACAGGCTAGGGCGTGACAGCACAGAGGCGGGCAGGTTGCCAGGCTGGCCGGGAAGCATGGCTTCCCGCACTGCCCCGCAACCTGGCCTGGCTCGAGGGCCGTCAAAATTTTCAGGCGGCGGCTTGCCCTGCCTGCCCGGGCCTTCCAGGCTCACACGTCGGCCCTGCCTCTGCCTGGCCAGGGAGAGCGGCCGCGGGCGTCCCTGCGCGCTGCCTAGTCAGCCAGCCAGTCGGCCAGCCCGCTCGTCCGCCGCCTGCCCACCGCGAGGCAGGCAGCTTGCTTTTCGAGCGCGCAGAGGGGGGCGTGACAGGGCCGAGCCTGCTCGCGATGCACGCCACAGCTTGGCGCGCCCCGCTGCCTCGTCGCGCACGCCTTGCTTGCCTGCCTGCTGGCTGCTCGCCTGGTCCGCCTGCAGCAACAGCTTTCCCTGCTCGATCGCCGTGGCGCGAGCGTTTGCCGGCCTGCCAGACTGTGCGAACCGTCCTGGCCTGCTAGCTCGCCGGCTGGCTCGGGCAGTTCAGTCGGCGATGTCCGGTGGCGGGGGCGGGTGGATGGCCCTACGGACGGCGTCTTTGTTGCTTTCGAGCGGCGTGCCTCGCGGCTGGCTGGAGGCGTCGGCTGAGGGGGCAGTGGCGGTATAAGAAGGCGTCGAGGCAGCCCCGGACGCCCGCCTCGCTCCTTTCCTCCGCTCCTCCAACTTCGATCCCCCCACCCGCGCCCCGCCCCACCCAGCCTGGCCCTTGTCGCCACCACGACTGCCCTCGTGTTGCAGTCCCTTTCGCCCCGGATCCTCTCTTCGTCCCTTGGCACCGCGTGCAGCCCTTGCGACGGCCGCTTCCGCGTCAATCGGCCCGACCCAGCTCGGCAGGGCCCACACCGCTGCTGCAATGTCCGAGGGACGCGGCGGGCACGATCCGGCCGATCTGCAGCGCCGGACGTCGCGATGGACGGCCCTGCAGACGCCGCCGAGCGCGCCACTGGCCAACCGTGTGGCCGGCCGGTACCTGCCTCCGCCTGTGATGCCGCCGTTTGCTGCGGCGCCCTCGACCGGGAGCGCCCCTACGAGGTCCAGCGCCTCGCTCGACTCGAGGCCGATGTCGCGCCTCGATTACCCTCTCGATCCGTCGACGTCGGGTGAGGCCAGCCTCCGCTCCCGCTCCTCGTGGCCCACCCCGCCCCGTGCGTACCCGTCGTCGTCGTCGCCGGCGGCGGCACCGTTCGGCGTCGAAGCCGACGAGTTGGGCCTCGATCCGTCGCGACCCAACGCGAGAGCCAGCAGGATGTTCCGCGAGCGCCGCAAGCAGCGCGAAAAGGTGCTGCGCGAGACGGTGACGCAGCTCGCCGCCAGAAACACGGAGCTCGAAGACATGCTGCTGCACTACGGCATCGCGCCGCCCGCCAGCGCCACGCTGCGCACCGAGCTGCCCGTCCAGGCATCGCAGCGCACCGGCGGGCCCCCCATCAACATCCCCGGCCTCACCCACCGCCACTCCGAGACCGACCTGGTCGCGCTCCGCTCACCCGCCGGCTCCGATTTCGAGGCGGCCGCCGAGGCCTCGGAGCGCCCGGTCCGATCCGACAACTCGGCCTCGCTGTCGGGCTCCAACTCGGGCAGCGGCTCGATGCACTGGGTGGACGAGGGCGAGGACACGCTGGCCGGCGTGCCGCTGCCCGACTACCTGCGGCTGTGGCCAGGACGAGAGCTGGTGCGTCGCCATGCAGTAAGCCGCCGCGCTGCACCAAGGACCCAGGGATCGTGCCTCGCTGACCAGTCACGGCCCTTGCCTGCTCGTCTCTCCCGGCTGCGACCGCCAGCAGCACCAGGCAGGCGGACATGCAGTCGAGTACGTCGACTACTACCCGGTCCCGCACCCGCATCCGCACCGCCAAGAGGTGAGTCGAGGCGAGGGCCAGCGATACGCCGGCGAGTCCGTGGCGAGAGAGAACGAGAGCGAGAGGGGGTTCGGGGCCACGCTGGGACGACGGCTGATCCGAGCGCGGCATCCCGACGTCGCCATGCGTGCACACCAGCAGCAGCAGCAGCAGCAGCAGCAGCAGCAGCAAGGACCGCCGCGTCGACCGACCGGACCCCGATCTCTGCCAGAGACCGCGGCGAGGGAGCAGCGAGACCAGACGGTACGTGCATGCGAGGCGTGATCAATTCAGCCTGATGCTGTGGCGAGACGAACGCTGACCTGACCTGGCCCCGTACCCCGTCGCGCCTGGCAGTCGACGGCACCGCAGGAGGTGAGGGCTTTTGGACGCGCACCCGGCCACGGTGTCGGAACGGCTCCCCAGCCCGAGCCGTCGCCCCACTTCCCTGCCGGCCACACGTCGACGTCGTTCGAGCGTCTGCTGCCCCCGCTGACGGCCGATTATCTCGACTTCCAGCAGTACCTCTACCGCAATGATGCGGGCGGCGGAAGCGGCACCGGCACCGGCAGCTCATCGCCCGATGTCGCCGCTCCATACAGGCAGCGACCGGTCGAAGCGCGAGCCGAGACGCCTTCGTCGCAGGGTGGGGGCAGCTCTCCCGCCGGACAGCCGCAGCAGCGATCGAGGCAGCCGATCGACAGCCCGCGTCCACGCGTCAGCGCCAACGCAAGCAGCCTTGAGGAGCTCGGCTCGCCTGGACGCAGTCAAGAGGGCTGCAGCGATTTCGAGCACTGCCCCGCCCGGCCTCAATCCAAGCCGGCCACGCACCAGGTCCGCTTCCTCGTCGGCGACCGGGCGAGCCAGCACCGCAGCCACTCTTCGGCATCGCCCCCGCAGACGATGTACGGGCACTCGGGCAGCCAGCCGTCCAAGACGTCGACGCCGCCATCCTCGGGCCCTCCTTCGGGCAAGTCGTCGCGCGGGCAGGCCAAGGCAGCGATGGGCAAACCCGCTGCCTTTGCAGCCGCAGCCGCAGCGTCGCCGCCGCACCCGAGGCACTCGCTGCCGCTGCCATTCGACGCGATGCAGGTCCAGATGATGGGTCAGGATCCGGCGACGGCGCCGGCTTGGACTAGCCTGGCCGACGACGCCCTGGCCGCGAGGATGCAGCAGATGGGCTGGACCTCGGACTGGTCCCACGCACCGCGCGCCCCGGCGAGGGCCAAGTCGGGCGAGTCCGGCCAGCCCTTTGACGGCCCGGGACGCATCATCCCGTCGGCTGCGCTCGCCCCGCCGTCGCAGCAGATGTCGAGGATGGCCACATGGAGGGATGTGCCGGGCCACGTTGTCGACGGCGTGCCTCGAGCGTACCAGCACCCGCTGCAGCAGACGCACGTCCCGTCTTCAGGCGACTCGACCAGCGGCTCGTCGACGACCAAGAGGGAGCCGAGCCCGGCACCCGGCGCAGAGGCGCAGCAGGGGGCCGCCCGGCAGGAGACCCAACAGAGCCGGCCGGCGCGAGGGACGGCCACGGACGAGGACACGTCCAGCACCTCGTCTGCCGTCAGCCAAGAGTCGCGCAACTGACGAGGTCCGTTCGGGGCCAAGGGCAAGCGCCGCGACGCGGCTCGGACGGTCAAGGAGGCGAGCGACTCAGCAAGGGCATCGCCATCAGGGTGGAGGATGCGGGTCGGGCGCGCCGACGACGGCGAGGGCCCAGCAGGGACCAGGCAGGGCGAGGAGGCTCCAGCGAGCGTGCGGCGTATGGATCGCATCGGATTGCAAGATGACGGAGCGGATGAGACGAGTGGGTGGTGGTACAGGGTGCTGGAGGCGATGGCAGGAGTCGTCGGCGGCGGTACCGAGGCGCGACGGGCGAGGAGGGTGAAGCGGCGCACCGACCAGCAAGCAAGGGCCGGCGAGATCGCAATGACTTATGACTTGATCCTCTTTGCCGGCGTTGGTGGTGCGTCGTCGCCTGCTGGACCGGCGTCGTCGTCGTCGCCGCCGCTGCTCCTGTCCTGCCGCCGCTGGCCGTCATTTGTGGCCTCGGCAGCTGCGTCCGTCGTCTCCGTGAGGGCTTCCGACGAGCCTTGGTCGGATGATGCAGCAGCCGCGTCCTCTGCCGCTGTCGCCGTGCTTGGTGAAGGCGAGGCCGTCTGTGTCTTTGTCGGGGATGCACCGGCGGCCGCGGCGGCGGCGGCGGGTGGGGTCGATGTGGACGAGGACGGGGCGGCGGGCTTTTTGCGCACGACGCCGAGGAGCATGCCGCCGGCCTTTTTCCGCTTCTTGTTGGCCGTCGTCGATGCGGCGCCCGGCGAGGATGCCGCCGCCGTCGTTGTCGTCGTCGTCGTTGTGGCGGTAGCGGTGGTGGACGCGGAGGGACTCATCGACTTGGCATCACTTTCTCGGCCACCAGCGGCGCGGGGACCACCCAGGACAGCCGGGGACGGCAGCGCAGCGGGGGGCGAGGCGGCACGGGCGCGTCGAAAGGCCTCGAGTTCCCTCGCCTCTGCCTCGCGCCGCGCCCGCTCCTGATCGCGCTGCTGCCGCTCGACTTCGGCCAGAAAGACAGTCTCGCCCTCGTCGAGCCCGCGGAACTGGTTCGAGAGCTTAAACATCTCGTCGTACTTTTCCGTCTTGGCGTCCTTTTGCGCCTTGATCCGCTATTCCGTCGTTTGCGCACGCAGAAGAGGGATGGGGCGGTGAGTTGGCCATGCTGATCCGATCCGGCTAGCAAGAGGGACGGTGAGGGAGAGGGAGAGGGGACGGCCAACGCAACGTACCTCGTACAGGCTGCGCGGATCATACTCCTGATCCGGTTTCGACGACGACGACGACGACGAGGAAGAGGAGAGCTCCGTCGCCGAGACGAAGCGCGAAGAGACCGACGACCCGCCCGGCTTGGGAAATGGATTCGACATGGTCCCTCGACGGCCCTGTCCGGCCCTTGGCTGTTCGTACGTCCGTCCGTTCGTGCGTTTGTCGGTTGCTCCGTTGCGTTGTATGAGACGGTTCGCAGCTGCAGCGGTGGTGGTTGATGACGGGGCGGATGGACGTCGAGATGAGGAACCTGAGCAGAGGGACGGGACGACGTGGTGGTCGGGAAGCAGGCGGAAAAAAAGAGGGCGAGAAAGCTCGACAAAAATGGGGCGCCCGCCCGCTTGCCTGCCGGCGCAATGCAGATGTGGAGCGCGCACGGACGTCGGTCGACCCTCCTGCCTCCCGGCCTGCCCCTTCAGCAAGCAAGCAGGCCAGGCCACCCTCCTCCTCCTCCTCGTCCAGCTCGCCCTCGCCCTCGCCCCTCTGCCTCGACTCTGTCGCGCACAGCCAGCTGGCGCTCGGGATCGTGATCGTCATAATGGATTTCGTTTTCGGGCGAGGGACTCTTCGAGGGGCCCATGCCAGCAGGCAGGCACGGCCGGGATGCCGAGACCAAGCCAAACCATGATCACTCCTCAGCGGTGCGTGCATGCAAAAGGGCCGTGTCGCGGCGGGGAACCCTCAGACCAGTTGCTAGTGAGAACGTCTTGTGCGGAGCGCCGTCGTCCTTTCCTGCTCAACGCGATCCAGCCCTGCCGCCGCCGCGCGGGCTGGTTCCTGTCGTCTTCTAACCCCCTCCTCCCGCCCGCCCGCCCGCGCTCGCTCGCTCGTCCGCCCTTCAACCTCCTCCGACGCCGACCTGGCCTACTGCTGCATGCCGTTCGAGGGCGCGGAAAAGTTGAAGCCGCCCTGCGGGGCGTTGAGGTCCGACTGGAAGGCAAACGCGCCGCTCTCGTCGACCTGGGGCGCGCCGAGGCCCGTGTCCTGCTCCTCCTCGTCGGGGAAGTACTTGTCCATGATGTAGAAGCACTTTTTGTAGATGTCGAGGTTCTCGTGGTGCTGCAGGTTGTGGATGGCCACCATGCCGCCGCACTCCTCAATGTGGAGCGCGTACTGGTTGACGGCGCCGTCGCCGGCGGCCTCCTTGTCCATCTCGCCCACCTTGAGGATGTTTTCCAGGCCGTCGAGCGCCACCTGGATAATCTTGTTGTCCATGCCCGTCAGCAGGTCGCACAGCGGCTTGATGCAGCCCTGCGACACCAGGTACCGGATCTGCTGCGGGTCCTGCAGGCCGCCGCTGGTGGCGTTGCTGATGGCCCAGCACGCCTCCTTCTTGGTCTTGAAGTCGCCGTTCTGCAGAATGTCAATCAGCGGCGGGATAATGTTGGCGTCGATGACGGCCTGGATCTGGTAGGCCGAGCCGGCCGTGATGTTGGAAATCGTCCAGCACGCCTCCTTGCGGATGCCCTCGCGCTGCGACGACAGCAGCGCCAGCAGCGGCGGCAGCGCGCCCGACGCGATCACGACCTGCGTCTGGAGGTCGTCGCCCGTGACAATGTTGCCCACCGAGCGCAGCGCCGGCGTCTGGACGGCCGTCGACGGGTGCGTCAGCAGGTCGACCAGGCGGCGCACCACGCCCGACTCGATGACGCCCTGGATCTTTTCGTTGGCGCCATCCGACAGGTACGAAATGGCCCAGCACGCGTCAATCAGCACCTCGTCGTCGAGCGAGTAGATGAGCTTGGTCAGGACGGTGAGCGCGGGCGAGACCTGTGCGTCGAGAGGAGGAGGGGCGCGAGGTCGTCGAGCATCGTCGTGCCGAGGGTCAGCCGTCTGTCGATCAATGGTAGAACGAGGAGAGAAAAAAGAAAGAGAAGTGGCGCGCGCGCGCCGCGGCGACTCACCAGCTTCCAGTTGGGCTGCGGGTTCTTGCCGCGGCAAAAGTTGCTCAGCGTCCAGGTGGCGTTGCGCAGCATGCTCAGCTTGTGGTTCTCGTTGAGCAGGGCGAGCAGGGGGCGGAGCGCGCCCTCCTTGAGCACAAAGTCGCGGAACTTGGGGCTGTCGCCGGCAATGTTGCCGAGCGCCCAGACGGCCTGCTCGCGCACGTCGAGCACGGGCGACGACAGCAGCTCGATAAAGATGGGGACGGCGCCCGAGTTGATGACAAACTGGGTCTGGTCCGAGGTTCCCGAGGCGATGTTGGTGAGCGCCCAGGCGGCCTCGAACTGCGCGCGCGCGCGCCGGGAAGGGAGAGGGAGAGGGGGAGAGGGAGGCAGAGCGGTCGAGGCGTGTCAGCACAGCTGCTTCGACGCATCGGCGCGGGGCAGTATGCGCGCGGCCTGGCCGCGTTGCGCCGGCATCGCCAACCGCCCGTGCACCCACCTGGATCATGCTGTGCGGGTTGCGCAGGAACTCGACAAAGCGTGGGACGACGCCGCACTTGATGACCTTTTCGATGGGCGGGTTCTTCTCCTTGGAGAGGAGCTTGCGGAACTTGGTGGTGCAGTCGAGCTGGGTGTTGATGTCGTCGCTGAGGACGCCCTCGATCATGATGGGGAGCTGCTCGTCGAGCTGGGCGTCGAGGACGGCGCCGCTGGCGTCGTCGTCGTCCGAGTCGCCGCCGTCGGTGAGGTTGTCGACGAGGTTGCGCCTCTTGGCCATCGACTCCTCGCGCTTCTGCCTTCGGATCTCGACCTGCGCCTCCTCCCTTCGTCGGCGCAGCTCATCCTGCTTAAAGACGCCCTTGGCCTTGAAGTTGTCCTGGCGCCTCGACAAGTCACGGGCTCCCGACATGGTGGCAGTAGGAGGAGTAGCTGTTGGCGTGGCGTGGCGTGGCGTGAAACCGGAAGCGGGCGGGCGGGCACTGGCGGAGGGCAGTGCGTATGGACCGACCGAGCGGATCTGGCTTGGTCGTGAATGCGGTACCGGCGAGGCGAGCGTCGGCGCGGCGGGTGGTGCGCAAGCCGAGGGCGGGTATCGAAGGGGCCGGTGGGTGACCGTGCGCAGAGCGGGGTGTGGGAAAGGTAGGGGGGGATAGGAAGGGCCAGGGCAAGGACCAAGGTATCGGGCGGGTTGCGAGAAAAGGAGAAGATGGAAGAAGGGGGCTGGCGATGGCGGTGCGCGTGCGCGTAGAGCGTGGTTGCCGTTGGTGAATGCGAGGAAGAGCGGGTGGGTGGTGATGGGGTGGGGTGAGGCGGTGGTGGTGGTGGTGGTGGTGGTGGTGGTGTTGGTTTGTGTGAAAAAACGGCGCAGGCAGGCAGGCAGGCGGGCAGACGAGCAGGCCAGCAGGCAGGGCCAGGGCGAGGTGAGGTGATGCTGTGGAGCTCGCCGTCTCTCCTCGGTCTGCCTGCCAGTCTGCCTGCCTGGCCGCCTGGCTGCCTGGCTGCCTTGCCTCTGGCTCTGCCTCTGCTCTGCCCTCTGCCTGGCAGCGAGTGCGCGCGCGTGTGTGTGTGTGTTGCGAACGGCCAGGCCTGCCAGGCAGCAATTTTTTTTCTCTCTCCCCTGCCTGGCTGGCTGCCTGCCTGGCCCTGACCCGCCTTCGATCTGGCCGCACGCGCACGGGAGCCAGCCACCGAGACGTCTGAACCTGGTGCCAGGCCGGGCCTGGCCCTGCCTGGGCAAAAGGGGCTGCGCAGCAGGCTAGGTGTTGTTCTCTCTCTCGGCCACGCCGCCGACTCGCTCTCGCGTGCCCCCGTCTCTCTCTCTCTTCTCTCTGGTTGCGCCTGCTCGTTGGAACAAGGGTAGACCGACCGACCGAACGGCCAGCCAGCCAGCCAGCCAGCGCCCCGCAGGCCTGCCGCACGCCGCCCGGCTCGCCCTTGCGTCGAGTCGCCGCCGTAGCTGCTTCTCCTGCCGCCTACATAGCCTGCGCACCACATAGCAGCAGCAGCATGTATGCTCGACCGGCGCGGCGGTGCCAGAAGAGTGCCAGGGGGGTCCGCTGACGAGCGAGCGAGCAGCGAGGGGAGGGAGGGAGGCAAGGGCCGGGGTGATCGGGCGCTGGGTCGACCCGCTGGCTGGCCCTTGGAGTCCGAACTGTGACTTCGTCGAGCGCCGTCGACCTCGAGGGCGTGGCGCGGTTCCTGTGACTTCATCGTCGCAAGGAAGGGGCCAGCTGGTTGGCTGGCTGGCTGGCTCTTTGCCCCCCGTGGCTGCGTGCGCGGGTTGGGGTGCAGACACTCGGCCGGCTGCGCGGGTCGGTCGGTCGCCGGGGAAAAGGCAGGCAGGCAGCGGGGCACCCACCCGCGGATAAGCCAAAGTCCGGCCGCCCGCCCGGCCGCCCGCCCGAAGTCCGAGGAACGGGTGGGCCGACGCCATACGGTAACGCCGGGCGTGCGGGCGAGCGGGCGAGCGGGGGCGGGCCCTTCTGAAAGCCAAGCGCGGTCAGCAACGAGGGACTTTGCCCTGCCTGGTGACTGGGCCAGCCCGAGAGCGGCAGCGGTTACGGCTAGCCGGGCAGTCCCCACCGGCAACGACGAGCCTGCCTGACCCTCGTCTTCGTCCTCGTCCTCGTCCTCGTCCTCGACCGACCTCCTTGGCACCGCTCCTCGCTCACCTCCGTCGCTGGCCATCGTCGACCACTACCCCGGGATCCACCTCGCTGGCATCGCTAACACTCGCTCTCGGTTTCGCCGCCGCAGGCAAGCAGCCAAGCACGCACGCAAGCACCCCTCTCGAGCATACCGCAAGCGCAAGCAGGCCTCAGGACAAGCACGGCGGCAGCTATGCCGTTGGTGGCCCACAGCCCTTCGCCCGACCTGCCCTCCATGCAGCCTCGCAACAGCCCCGCCGCCCACCACTCGGTCGCTCCCGGCGACCTCGAGGTGCTCGACATGCTCTGCTCGATGCCCTCGTCGTTTCCGCACTCGGGCCCCTCCAACTATGCCTCGGCCTCGTCGGCCTCCAAGCCCAGGCCCCTCTCCACCCTCAACGCCCTCCGCCGGCCCCCCATCGACCCCATGGTGCTCGCGGCCAGCCTCAGCTCCGGACCGCACGTCACCCGCCACCACTTCCACCACTCGTTTGGCTCCGGCGACGAGCATGCCAAACAATCCACCCAGATGCCCGCCAGCCAGCGCGCCTCGCTCCAGAAGCGAGACGAGCAGCAGCCCCGCTCGCGCAAGCTCTCGGCCGCCAGCGGGTCCTATGCTAACTGCGACCTCGACGAGTTCGACAGCCAGCCGACGAGCTCTGCGGCCTCGGCCACAGCCACCCAGGCCGCCCACCACGTCGTCGAGCCCGTGCCCGAAGTGACCGACGAGGAGAGGGCCATGTACGCCAGCCGCCAGGCTCCCCGCAGCGTCCGCCTCCAGCGCGAGCGCGAGAAGCTGCAGTCGCTCCAGCCGTCCGCCGCGCCTTCCTCTGCGACGGTCACTGTGCCCGCCTCCGGTGATGCCGCCGCCACCACCACCACCGCAGGCGCCGCAACACCGGTGGCCGAGGCCAAGCGCGACGAGGTCAAGAGCGCCGCCGACATCCGCGCCAGCGACGAGCCGGCCCGGCCAGACCTTGAGCGGCAGCCGGGCAACCTCGCGGGCAAGCCCATGCCCATGCCCGTCACCGCCAACGCCAACGCCAACGCCGTGGCAAAGGCCCTCGACGAGCGCAAGGCCGCCGTCGTCGCCAGCGCCACGCCGTCGCTCGGCTCGCTGCCCGCCCCGGGCATCGTCAGCGCAGCGCCCAGCATCCCCTCGACGCCGCTCAACCGCCCCAACATCTCGTCCATCGTCCGCCCGCCCCCGCTCGCCGTCCGCTGCCACGCCCGCACCCGGATACCCACGCCGCACGGCGAGATCTTCTGCCACCTCTACCGCAACAACTACGACGCAAAGGAGCACCTCGCGCTCGTCATCGACCCGGCGCAGAACGACGACGACAGCGTCGTGCTGGGCCAAGACGGCCGCCCGCTCAAGGAGCGCAGCCGCCGGTACCGCAAGCGCGCGCTGCGCAGCAAGACGCTCGACGAGGTGTGGGGCCCGCAGGAGTCGGAAATGGAGAGGATCGTCCGCGGCGCCTACGTCGGCCGGCTCGGGCCGAGCTTCCAGGTGCCCTCGCTGCCCGTTCATCGAGGGCGAGACGGCCCCGCAGGCGCAGACGACGACGACGACGACGACGACGACGAGGAGCCGCCGCTGGTGCGCATCCACTCCGAGTGCTACACGGGCGAGACGATCGGCAGCCAGCGGTGCGACTGCGGAGAGCAGCTCGACGAGGCGATCCGGCTCATCTCGGAGGGCTCGGCGCCCGCCAAGGCCTCGGCCGGCGACTCGCCGTCGTCGCACGGCCACGCCCACGGCCGCGCTCGAGCTCGAGCCCCGCTGCCGCCGCGCGGCGTCATCGTCTACCTGCGCCAAGAGGGACGCGGCATCGGGCTGCTCGACAAGCTGATGGCCTACAACCTCCAGGACATGGGCCACGATACCGTCAGCGCCAACATCCTGCTCGGCCACCTGCCCGACGCGCGCAAGTACGACATCGCCAGCGCCATCCTGCGCGACCTCGGCGTCGACGAGTGCCGCCTGCTCACCAACAACCCGGAAAAGATGGAGGCGCTCGAGGCCGAGGGCGTGCATGTCAGCGAGCGCGTGGGCATGGTGCCGCGCGTGTGGAAGTACCGCAAGTTTGTCCGGGACAAGGCCAAGAAGAAGGAGAAGGCGCGGGCCCGGGCGGC